GAGGAGGGGAGCTGGAAGGCACTGCCAGGTGGATGCCAGCTGCATGTAACTGGCTGGCAAGACAGACAAGCACCCGGAAAATGAGGAGGGAGGAACGTGCTTTGGCTTTAGACCTGGATTCTGAGCCTACAGCAGGCAGTAGTTCTCTGTGGGTCACAGGCAGGTCAGTTTGCGTGAGTCGCAGTTTCATCTTGAGGAAGATACTGAACCAGAAGTCCTCTAAGGTCCCTGCAGGGCCAAGGTTTTCACATTTTACGATTCAGCAGTTTGAATAGACCTTCAAGGAAGTTTAGAAATAAAAAGATTACCTAATAGAAGAGGGGTAAGACCTGCATAACCCTTCACAAAAGAAGAACTCTAAATGGCCACTGATAAATGACACTCAAGTAGTCAAGGAAATGCCAGTTACACCCTAATGAAAAACCATCACAAACGTACTGTCGCACCCTAATGAAATCCCGTCACATGTACCATCACACACGTACTGGTTCAGAAAATCTTGATATTGTCAGACTTTAAGTACAGCAGTAACTCTTACACTCCTGGTGAGAGTATGAGTTAGTACAACCATGTGAGAAAATATTTTGATCTATTAGTAAGGTTGAAAATAAACCCGTGTCCCAGCAGTTCCACTCCTACATACACACACACAGACATGTGTATATGTGTGTGTATATCTATAGCTATATATAGATATACACACACATATACACACACATACATATCTTAGAGAAATGCATATACATACGCATGAGCTGAGACATATGTATGAGAATGTCCATAGCAGCATTGTTCATAATAGATACACCCCCTCCCTCCCCCAAAACAAACAAAAACAATCTAAATAACATCAATAGGAAATGGATGCATAGCTCTGGTATATTCATGCAGTTGAATACCATATCGTAATGGAAACTAACCACAGCTCCATGTAAAAATATGGACAAACGATGTCGACAGCCATGGTGAGTGCCCCATCCCATGGCTAGAGTCCCATCGCTGATGTCCCTTGCTTCTCCAAACTCCTGTATGGTTGTACCTACCTCTGTGATCGGTCAGGCAATGCTTAAACTTCTGGGGAGTGGCCCTGATGTGAATGCCAGGTGTAGTCAGGAGGGGCCAGGTGTTGCCTGGCTGTTGGAGAGGAGCCCAGTGAGTTAAGAAAGCTTTGCTGCCCTGGGGGAGCCCAATTTGATGTGGATGGGCCAAAGGAGCTGGGGTGAGCTCTGGGGCTGGGGTGGCAGGAGGCAGCACCATCTAGTTCGAGGGAATCAGCCCCCCCAACCACCCCCCGGAGGCAGATGGTGGCCCTTTCAGTTGTACGCACTCTGCCCGGCAGCCTACCCCTGATGCCTTCCAAGTACTCCATGACGGTGATGGTGTTCCTCATGATGCTGAGCTTTTACTACTTCTCCCGCCACGTGAGTGCCTGCACGCCCCCGCTCTGTGCCCACAGTCCACAGGTCCTCCTGAGAAGCAGCCCTGGGACCGAAGAGCCCAAGCTCCTAAGGAACGCAGCTTCCCTTTACCAGCCCTACACGTGAGCCTGGTCAGGCCACTGCCTTCTCTATATTTAGGCTCCACAGAGACACAGTTCCTCACCTCTTCCATCCGACCCCCTCCAGGATGGTGAAGGAAGCATGGAAGTAAGGGTGGGAGAGGATGGAGTGAAGGCACAAAAGTCCTGAATCAAACCTCTATCCCCTAGACCAGGGGTTCATGGCCCCTACATTCCCCTTGGTGCTGGGGGACATTAACACAACTGGCCAAGAGAAAGGGAAGGGAGCAGATGAATTTTGTTGGGTTAAAAGGAAAAGAGAAGGCCGAGCGTCCCAGCATTTTAGGAGGCTGCGGTGGGAGGATCACTCAAGTCCAGGAGTCTTGAGACCAGCCTGGGCAACGTGGTGAAACCCCGTCTCTACTAAAAAATACAAAAATTAGCCAGACATGGTGGCACAAGCCTATAAACCCAGCTATTTGCAGGGTTAAGGCAGGAGGATTTCTTGAACTTGGGAGGTTGAGGCTGCAGTGACCCGAGATGGCACCACTACACTCCAGCCTAGGCGACAAGGTGAGACCCCCGCCCACAAACCCCTACTGAAAAAAAAGGGGAAAGAGAAGGGAGGAGAGGGAGAAAGATCCTCTGTACTTAGGGTGAGTGTTAGCTCAAGTGCCCCTCAGTGGCTTTCCAGGGAAAGTACAGCCTTCCCAAGCCTTTTCTCTGCCAAATGGAGCCTGCTAGAAAGGGGGACTCCACCCTGAGCTGGGAGATCCCCACTACTGCCACCTCCACGAGACAGACCTGCAGCTGAAATCCGGTCGCAGCAGGCCCCACACATGGACGGCCTCCTGAATCTCCACTATAACTACTGGGGCTGGGATCTGCACTGCTATTGGGTGGCCTTTTTGATGAGAGAATCCTCTCAGGATCTTACTTCCCTTGCCATTTAGCCGGTTTCCCTCCAGCCTTTGCAAGGGGAGCTCCTCCATTCACATCCACAGTCCTGTTTTTATTTTTTAGATGTTGTCTCACTCTGTCACCCAGGCTGGAGTGCAGTAGTGCACGATCTTGGCTCACTACAATCTCTGCCTCCTGGGTTCAAGCGATTCTCCTGCCTCAGCCTCCTGAATAGCTGGGATTACAGGTGCCCACCACCATGCCTAGCTAATTTTTGTGTTTTAGTAAAGATGGGGTTTCACCATATTGGCCAGGCTGGTCTTGAACTTCTGACCTTGTGATCTGCCTGCCTCGGCCTCCCAAAGTGCTGGGATTATAGTGAGAGCTGCCACGCCCAGCCGTTCCTGTTTTTCATCCTTCTATCCAATGGCAAGCTTAGAGCACATGCCTCGCCTTATCTGTGCCCATAGGTAGAAAAACTGGCACGGACACTTTTCTTGTGGAAAATTGAGGTCCATGACCAGAAGGAACGTGTCTATGAGATGCGACGCTGGAATGAGGCCTTGGTCACCAACATGCTGCCTGAGCATGTGGCACGCCATTTCCTGGGGTCCAAGAAGAGAGATGAGGTGAGGAGTGTGGCCTCAGCCTGGAGCTATGAGGCCATTTGTCTCCATCTGTTCTTTCTTTCAGGGAGCCCCCCTGGGCCCAGGCCTTCCCAGGACAGGGGATTGGGGCCCAGGTAGGGCTGAATCTAAACAGCATATACTGTATCAGCGAAAGAGGAGCTTCTGTGTCTTGTAAAGGGCACTGCTGTGGGCATCGTGATGTGGGCCACACAGCTCTGGGGCCAAGTGTCAGAAAAGGCCTTGGCTAGAGCCCACCTTTCTATTGACTGTGAATTTCTCGCAACAGAGTGGTTCCCAGCTTCACTGTACCCTCTTCTCACAGCTGGGGCCGTTAGAGGAACTAAAGAAGCTGTTTTTAAAACTTACTCAAAGTAGTAGCCAGGCATGGTGGCTCACGCCTGTAATCCCAGCACTTTGGGAGGCCGAGATGGATCACCTGAGGTCAAGAGTTTGACACCAGCCTGGGCAACATATAGTGAAACCCTGTCTCGACTAAAAAATACAAAAATAAACTGGACTTAGTGGTACACACCTGTTGTCCCAGCTATTCAGGAAATAGGCAGGAGAATCACCTGAACCCAGGAGGTGGAGGCTGCAGTGAGCAGAGATTGCCCCACTCTTAACTCCAGCCTAGGTGACAGGGCAAGACACTGTCTCAAAAAAAAAAAAATAGTGATGAGCTATTTTTAAATTATTCAGAGTTGGGATAATCTACAGCCGTGCCTGTGATCCCAGATGCCTTGTGTTCGAGGCCACAGTGCGCTTCAATCATACCTAACCGTGCATGTTTACTGCCACTGCACTCCAGCCTGGGAAACATAGCAAGACCCAGGCCCTTAAAAAAAAAAAAAAAAAAACTGGGATAATCTGAGAGATGTGTGAGTCCAAAAAGCTGAGTGCACATGTTGTGTGTAGAAGATAGATGCATTTCTCCAGCACATCATCCCGTCAGTCAGACGTGGTTTGAGCCTTTGGCCCTGCCTCTTTGTAGGAGCTGTACAGCCAGACGTATGATGAGATTGGAGTCATGTTTGCCTCCCTGCCCAACTTTGCCGACTTCTACACAGAGGAGAGCATCAACAATGGTGGCATTGAGTGTCTGCGTTTCCTCAATGAGATCATCTCGGATTTTGACTCTGTGAGTGCCCATCCCACCCCGCACTCTGGCCATGAAGCTGGTCCATTCCACATCACATAGGCTGCACAAGCCAGGGAATCTGGAGTCACTCAAGAGTGGCTACATTTTCCAGATAAGCCCCTTCTGCAGTATATGGATTTCCACAGCCACCTGGAACTGCTGGGCCAGGAAGCGGGAGGTGAGGTGGGAGGCTGAGACATCACCCACAGGGTCACAGGGGATGAAATCTGGCCAAGAAACATCCTGACACTCCTCTGTTCCTTTCCCCTCAAATTCAGAGCTGGTCGGCATTGATCGGGTAACCTGTATACCAGTGAGAATGCTTTTATACACACACTCAGCCGCCCTAGGAGACTGGCAATTTTATGTCAGTCTTGAGGTTGTGGAAACTGAGGCCCAGAAAGTCAGGTGTTTTCCCAGGATCATGTGGCATATAAGCAGTAGAATAAGTAAAAGCTTTGAAAGGAAGGCGTCTCTTGGGTTTTGCAGGGTCCTTGTCAACAGGCACGTGTGTCACTAGTGGGGTTGGCTTGTTCATCTCCCTTGACTCTGCTGACAATTCTTTCCTGAATCCTGGCCTCAGCTCCTGGACAATCCCAAGTTCCGGGTGATCACCAAGATCAAAACCATTGGCAGCACGTATATGGCAGCCTCAGGAGTCACCCCCGACGTCAACACGAATGGCTATGCCAGCTCCAACAAGGTAGCTAACCTCAGTGGCCAGAGAGGAGACAAGGCTCTGCCCCCAGGCCAGAGATTGGCAGCCCAGACCCAGCATGTGGGAAACAAGCACTGTGGTGCAAAGGGGTCCCAGACACACACCAGGAGCACCATGTAAACAAATAAGAAACAGGGTTTATTGAGGTTTGACAAGCAGAGAAACAACAGACACAAAACCCCCTGCTGTTCACAGCTCAGGCCTAAGATGGTTGTGTTCTGTGGCCAGGCCCCCTCAGGCTCTGTGCTTTCATAGGAACTGGTGACAGGAACCAACTATGCAATCATGTAACAATGGAAACTTCCAGAGTGGCTGTCAGAACTTTTGTTAAGCCAATTTAGACCTGTATTCAGCTACCAGGATAGAAAACGTGAAGGGGCCCTGGTCTTAAAACAGCATCATCCTGTTTTGCCTCTGTGACCATCCCATGGCACTCTATTGTATGGACGAGGTTGAAGACACATATCCAAAGCCCAGCATGATGGCTCACACCTGTAATCTCAGCACTTTGGGAGGCTGAGGTGGGTAGATCACGAGGTCAGGAGATTGAGACCATCCTGGGTAACACAGTGAAACCCCATCTCTACTAAAATTATGAAGAAAAATTAGCCAGGCGTGGTGGCATGTCCCTGTAGTCCCAGCTACTCAGGAGGCTGAGAATGGAGAATCACTTGAACCCAGAAGGCAGAGGTTGCAATGAGCCGAGATCATGCTACTGCACTCGATTATGCCACTGCACTCCAGCCTGGATAACAGTGAGACTCTGTCTCAAAAAAAAAAAAAAAAACCCATGTCCAAGGCGGGCCATCCCCCTCCAGTGCTTATCACCTAGTTGAAGGATCCAAACAAGGACAACTTGACAAAACCTAAGGGCCAGGGCAAGCCAAGGCGAAGAGGCTTGTCTCGAAGTCAGACTCATGGGTCTGTCTTCTCTACCCTTATTGCCCAGTCTTTGCCTAGATCTGCTAGAAGGACACACATGAGCTTTGTCACAGTGGCAAGCTGGAGCTGGCAAGGCTGCCGACTCCTTTGTGGAAGGAAGGGAACTAGGCTGTGAACATCTAGGTATAGGGAACCCACCCCAGAACACTGCCAAAGAAGGCAGCAGAGCAGGCTGCTGCAGTGACTGTCCCCTGGCACAGGAGGACAAGTCCGATCGAGAGCGCTGGCAGCACCTGGCTGACCTGGCCGACTTCGCACTGGCCATGAAGGATACGCTCACCAACATCAACAACCAGTCCTTCAACAACTTCATGCTGCGCATAGGTAAGCACTCCCGGCCGGCCAGCCCTGCGGCAGGCTCCCTTCCCAAGCAGGGGCCCAGCCCACCAGCAGGAGAGACAGGCCGAGGATAACAGGCATTCAGGTAGGGAGGTTCACGTACTCACAGGGCTAGGGAACCTGAAGGACCTTTAGTCCAGACTCCTCTAGATGACGAAACCAAAAACCTGGCTGATGTAAGGGTCAGGCTATACCTGTGCCTACTTTTTACAATGGTAGCCTGGCCTGCCTCACTGAGAAGTGAGTTTGTGATCCATTTCCAGAGGGGTTTCTGTGCCTGCAGAGGGCATGGCTTCCCAGACCAGCCTGCTCTCTGAAAGGAGTTAAGATCACCTGCTACTTCCCACTGAGGGGGGCTTCTCATTCCTGAACAAGGTCACAGGAGACTTGAAATACCAGGTGTATTAGAAGCTGGCCACTGCCATTCGGAGTAAATCTGCATATCGGGGGGCGGGGGGGGCAGGTGGCAGCTGACATTTGCCAAGCATGTGGATAAACAGGAGGTGTGATTTCCACCCTCCAGTCGCACACAGCCAAGTTTAACCAGGAAAATGATGTGTTACATAATTAGGAGCTTTGTGGTACAGGTCGGATGACAAATTCTCTAAGGGGAGTTCATGGCTTCTGAGGCTCAGGACAGGGTTTGGCCTGTGTCTGTGCTGACCTTTATGCCTCCACCCCAGGCATGAACAAAGGCGGGGTTCTGGCTGGGGTCATTGGAGCCCGGAAACCACACTATGACATCTGGGGCAATACGGTCAATGTGGCCAGCAGGATGGAATCTACGGGAGTCATGGGTAACATTCAGGTATGTCCAGCAGCAGAGCTGGCGCGTGCTCAGACTCAGGGCATGGGAACAAAATCAGAACAGTGTTTCCCCATGCACCCCTGCCTCCCATCCCGGGCCCCGAACAGTAAGTCCGCAGGCAGGAGGTAAGGGGCAAGTGGGAAGGAGTTTCTGCCGTAGCTAGCCTCAGCGCAGGGGCAAACAATTCCACCCATCCGCAAAATCTAGGTTGAAGTTCTGGATGAGTCTGGTCTGCCTCTTGGTATGAATCTTCTGCCGTCCTGTGTCTGTGTCAATGGGGTCTGGCAGAAAAGCTCCATAAAAGGGGCAAAGGGGGACAGAAGAACAGAGAGTGAGTTTCCAGGCAACAGTGCTGCCACCCAGGTGACCCATGCCATCCTAGGAGAGAGGTCTCTGGGTGAGTAGAGGCCTCCAGCCACTCACTCCAGGGCTCTGCTGCCCACTTGCTGCTCACCACAGGTGGAAGTCAGGGCTTGGCCCTGGGAGGCTGCTGAGGGCCGTGTACTGCCTGGGACCCGTGGATCACATGTGGGCACCGTGTGGATCAGTGTTCGGCTCCTCCTGTGATACCATGTTCTTGCTCTCCTTCCTCCCCAGGTGGTAGAAGAAACCCAAGTCATCCTCCGAGAGTACGGCTTCCGCTTTGTGAGGCGAGGCCCCATCTTTGTGAAGGGGAAGGGGGAGCTGCTGACCTTCTTCTTGAAGGGGCGGGAGAAGCCCACCACCTTCCCTAACGGCCCCCCCATCACGCTGCCCCACCAGGTGGAGGACAGCTCCTGAATGCCTCTAGCCTGTGACAGTCCAGACCGGGAGGGAGAATTTATCTTTTGGAGCTGACGAAAGGCCTTGGGAGAAGACACATGACCAAGTCCCGACCTTCCCAGATTGAAGTGAACTCACCGACTTTAGGTTTAGAACCTCCTCAGCCTTTGTACGTTCGTGGACGTGTGAGCTCTGAGGGTGGCCCTGCTCTTCCTCAGTGTGCCTGTAGCATCCTCAGCGTAGGGGTCTTAGGTGTAGGGCTGAACAGTCCTTCCAGAGCCTAGTTCCAATCCCTGCCCTCCATGACCCTGAGGGGCCCTGGCCGCTGTGAGCAGGAGGGTGGCAAAGCTGGGACGATGCTGCCTTTGCTGCAGGGCTGACCAGGACTGGACGGAGCACAGGCAAAGCAGCTCTGCTTCAGACGGGCTTGGTGGGGCAGGACACGGCTGGAAACGTTTTGTTCCCATTCTGAAGGGAGCTCAGGCTGGAGACCGGTTGTCTCCACATGGTCCGAATTCACTGAGACGGCCCTTGTCCGGATGTTCCTGGTAATCTTGAAAGGTTCTTTTGGAACCCGTCCCCTTAGTCATGAGAGCAGAAAGTGCAATATTTCCTTTCACCTGGCAGGGGAGGGGGGATTTATTTCTGAAAGAAAAATATATAAACAGATCTTCTACATTTATATTTTTAATCTTCTGTTCAATACACTTTCCGATATTGCCTTGCCTTTGAGCTCTTGCTACAGTCGCCTTTGCTACTGCTTTAAGAGAGAATTTACAGGTATTGACAAAGACTAAGACTGTTTTATTAAAAGCTTTATTCAACGAAAGTGGCTGTGGAAATTCTGTTAATACCACTTATCTGAGGAGTGCTGATACCTTACTGACTCATGCCACTGGGCCCCACCACAGGCCTGGAGGGCAAAAGCTTGAAGGTCTCACCATAGCTCACTGTACCCCAGAAAACTCCTGCTGCCCAGCCCCATCTCTATTTTATTCTGTTTCTAAAGGGTAGTCCAAGCTGGCTTTAGTCCCCTGCACTGCTCCCAGAGTTTGCCGGAGCTCTCCCACATGGAGGTTACTTAATGATCACGAAGTCTAGGAAGTGGCCACTGCAGGGTGAAGTCTGAACGTGGCCCTGGGCAGTCATGATTCCTATCTATGCCCAGGCAAACACGAGAACCAGGTCAGCCAGACACAGCTTTTCACATCTGTGACCCACATGCCAAGGAACCAGAGGTGCCAGCAGATGAGAGGCCCACGGTCACAGGTAAATCGGGACAGTAACCGGAGAGTCTGCAGGAGAGGGAAGACCTGGGGGACACCTGCTCTCCCTCACGACAACACTGAGTTTATGGGCAGATTTCTAACCGTGCTTTTTCCAAGGGGACTTAGTACATTCAGAGCTCTACCAATCTGTTTTAGGAAACAAAATCTTAAGACACATTGAACCCTGATTATTTTATCTCTACTGCTTTTTCACACATATTCTTCATAAAGCAGTGGCCTAGAACATGCTGTTCCTGACCAAATACTGAAGAACTTCCTTTTCAAAAGTTTCAAACAGGAAAATAAGGAAGAATTACTTAAAGCTCCATTAAAGCTAGAAGTACTTTCCTTTAAAAAAAAAAAATACTGGGTCTTTATTATCTTCATCAGTGAATGTGGGTTACTTTTCCACTTATTTAGATCAGTGTTTCTCAGCAGAATCAAGCTACTGCAGTTTGAGTGGAGTGCTACATTTCTGTGAGGGCCCTTTCTGGGAATTTTAGGATTTTTGGCATCTCATTCCTGGCATTAAATTAGTAGCAGTTACTGTGACAACTGCCTCGTCTTTCCCAGAACTTAATGCCCTTACTAACTTGATATTTTTCCATATTTTCTTCATAAGTACTTCTTGAGTGATACACCTTTTACAAAAAATGGCTTTTATTGCCCCACAAATGTTTCTGATTTTCAGCTAAAATGTATGATAATACCTTGAAAAAACATGATCTTGAGCATTTCAAGTGACCAGGCAATCATGGGAATTGTTCCAAAACACCAGTGTCTATACTCAAACCTGCTCTTCCATCCTGATGAAAAGGTAGACATCTGTTTTCATCAGGAGGGTGGGCCCCACCTGCCTGGTGCTGTCTTCAGTTCTGGTTACTTACTTCTGATGTGTTCCCAGTGCCATGAAAACAATCTATTAGGAGACCAGACTCATATCCAACTTTTCTCCTTTTCTTGCAAATGAAGCAAACACTTGATGCAGGGGCTTCATACAGAACAGAGTTTCATGGGATGCTCGCTGCTCCTCCCATGAAGTGGATAATGCTTCCACTCCTAAAAAGAAAGATTCCATCAATCTCATCCAGTGCAATTGGGGGAATCAGAGCCTGGATCACTGATACTCTGGAACCATACAGCTTTTGTTTTTTGGTCTGGACTAAGGCTGCCCCTCATTGGACAATCTTGAGACTGGAGGCTTCAATCAGACTGCCCAGAGAAGTCAAAGACTGATGGTGTGAAATCTGGGGCAGCTTCAAAATTTCTGCCTCCTAAAATCATTTTACCCAGACAGGCGCAGTAGCTCATACCTGTAATCCTAGCACTTTGGGAGGCTGAGGCAGGTGGACTGCTTGAGCTCAGGAGTTTGAGACCAGCCTGGGCAACAGAGTGAAACTCCGTCTCCAATAAAAAATACAAAAAATTAGGGCCGGGCGCGGTGGCTCAAGCCTCTAATCCCAGCACTTTGGGAGGCCGAGGCGGGTGGATCATGAAGTCAAAAGATTGAGACCATCTTGGTCAACCTGGTAAAACCCCATCTCTACTAAAAATACAAAAAATTAGCTGGGCATGGTGGCACGTGCCTATAATCCCAGCTACTCAGGAGGCTAAGGCAGGAGAATTGCCTGAACCCAGGAGGCGGAGGTTGCAGTGAGCTGAGATCGCGCCATTGCACTCCAGCATGGGTAACAAGAGCGAAACTCCGTCTCAAAAAAAAAAAAAAATACAAAAAATTAGCTGGGCATGATGGCATGTGCCTGTAGTCCCAGCTACTCTGGAGGCTGAGGCAGGAGAATCACTGGAACCTCCACCTCCTTGAACCCGGGAGGTGGAGGTTCCAGTGAGCCGAGATCGGGCCATTGCACTCCAGCCTGGGCGACAGAGCAAGACACCTTCTCAAAACATTTTACCAATTTTTCGTTATTGCCCATGTCATTTAACTGAAACAGGTTCACCAAAAAGTATCTCTCTCAGCCAGTTTGGAAGAATTTCCATTTAGAGACTGCTCCATAGGGAGGAGTGTGTGTGTGCTGACGCGTCATGTCCATTTGACTTCATAGTGAAATGAGTCTGGCTCCATTCACCATAACAGACCCATGACTCAGCATTATCATTAGCTATCTTTCCTGAAGCAGAGCCCCAGTGAAAACAAATCATAAGCTGCAAGAACACTGGCAGTGCTGGGTGGGCAGAGGAGGGAAGATGGGGATGATCATGTTTACCATTTACAAAGAGGAAGGAAAAAAGATTGGTAGAAACAAAGAATGTTCTATCTCACCGGTCTGAGTAAATTTACAGTACACAAACAGAATAAAGTGTCTCAAGAGGTCTACTTCATGGATTCTACCTGTTTCACTTGAATAAACTGGGATATGAGAATTTCTGCACTGAGGCAGCCTTCTTACCTTGATATGTCACAGTGACGTCGGTGGGAAGAGTTGCTGTGAGGTCCTTATACAGCAATCTAGCACAGAACGGGAAGGACTGACTGCCTGGATCCAGTTTGTAAGTAAATGACAGCAAGTTACACAGTGGGTTTCTCTGCAAGGGCCCAGTCAGGAGGGCTGCAAAGTCACTCTAGGGGTGAGGAACAAAATGAAGTAGAGGATGACTGCAGTTCCAAAGGTGGTGCTTACTGACACTTGAATTATGTCAACCAAAAAGAGGGGTCATCAATTACATTTTAGAGAAATAAATGAAGCACAGGAAAGGGTCTGAAAAAAGGGCTAATGAAAAAGATGTGTAGGAATAAGAGTCAGTGGCAGCCTGGAAAGGCCTATAGGGGTACAGCTCCACAAGAGACTGTTTCTGCAAAAATTTCACTGGCTGAGGTGCTTCATGCTGCATCCACATTTCAATTTCAGTTAAACCTACAACTGAGAGCTTCAGAGTTATTCCAAATACATAGAGGGGGAAACACTAAGCTTGTAGGAGTCACTTAGAACATATTAGCATTCACTTCCTATCTACTTTTTTCACCCAACCTTAGCTCAACTGCAACCCAAAAAGGTAGGCTAGAGTTGAGGGAGATGGACTGCATTCTTCCATGGCACTGCAGAAACCACTGTCCTCTTTCTAATAAGGTCTATACCCAAGGTTCAGCAAGGCACTTGGTGCGGTACATAGTAGGCACCCCATAAATCCTTGTTGGATCAAAAGTATAACAACTGGACTCTACAATCTTATGAAAAAAGCTTGAAGACCACCATTCAGAGGTGCATAACCCTTTAACCAGTACCCAAGCTCAATATCATCCAGAGATTCAAAAGAAAAGAGGGTGGAATAGTGCTTCTATATGAGTAAGAAACATCAGAAAGGTAATGGTCAAACTTCTCACTCAGAGTTACAAAACACTGAAAATACAGAAAACATCCCCCCTTTCCCCTTTTACATTTATCTTGGGCCCACAAATGAGGCACTAACATCCCAAAGAGATACCTGAAGCCGGTCTGCCTGGTACTTCCTCCCAGAATAAGCATTCAGGTACTCGCAGAGACTGAACAGGAAGTGCTGGATGTTGGTCTGTAAGTATTTTGCAGCTATCTCTTCTAGAGGAATGAAGACTGGGACTGAATGGTGATGTATCCGGAGTGGTTTCTGTATGACAAGGTCCACAAAATAGGAATCCAACAGGTTCCCCTCAAAAGCAGTATTGATGCAGACACAGACTCCTCGGCTGGTCAGTTTACCACTGAGGCCTGAGGCAAAGAAGAAGACACCTCAGCAGATGGCAGGCCACGGTGGCGTCCTCCTCATCTGTGCCTCCAGTAGCTTCCACAGTGCCCAGAATATGTACACTTTGTGCACAAATGTTTGTTGAAGGAGTATCATTGGCTCATTCTTCCCCTGACTCCAGCTCACTTTGAGACTGAGTTGTTTAAAACCACGGAAGAATGGTAAAAATGAAAAAACATCCTAAATGTCAAATTACCAGGAAATTTTTCTTTTCTTTTCTTTTCTTTTTTGGAGAGAGGATATCACTCTGTCACCCAGGCTGCAGTGCAGTGGCACGATGTCTGATCTCACTGCAACCTCAACCTCCTGGGCTTAAGCGATCCTCCCATCTCAGCCTTTCAAATAGCTGGGACCACAAGCACATGCCACGTCACCTGGCTCATTTTTAAATTTTTAGTAGACATGAGGTCTTGCTATGTTGCCCAGGTGGGTCTCAAACTCCTGGACTCAAGCAATCCTCCTGCCTCAGCCTCCCAAAGTGATGGGATTACAGGTGTAAGTCGCTGTGCCAGGCCAAAAATTTAAATTATAGCTATTCTTTTTTTCTGAGTGTGAAATAATTTGTCATAGTCCCCAGTTCTTTCCACAACTATCCTGTGGCATAGATGGGAGAATAAATCCCTATTTATGGAACAGACTTGGAAAGTTCAAACTATTTCACTAGTAGCATAAAACAAGCCAGCGGTAAAGGGAGTTCTAGCACAGGGTCTGGCACATGACAAACTGATAAAATGAATGGAATAAACTAGCCACCAGCTGAGCTGCGGTACAAAGGGCCAGCCGATCTTGTAGGTGAAGATAGGCCTCAAATAGCATGTCAGCTCTGTGTGTGTGTGTGTGTGTGTGTGTGTGTGTGAGAAAGAGAGAGAGAGAGAGAGAGAGAGAGAGTGAGTGATGAGGGCAGGAAGTATAAAATACCATAAATTATGAAATAAGGCCAGGACTGATAACATATCTAGCAAACTAACTCACTAGAGTCAGACCCAGATTAAATTAGGTTAAAAAAAAACCCCAACAAATTAAACCTGTAAAACGATAGGCCTGCAGAACGGCTTTCACATTTTCCAGTTTCTCTTCCAACACTTCTTGCTCATTCATCTCCACTGCTAGGTTGGGTTCTACATTGGCAGTAGATGCTTTCACCTGAAAGATACGAAGCAAATCAACGTAGGTACAAAGGGGTACACCACAACGTCCCCGCCCTCACCGCACTGGATAAAGGCTCAGTGCAGGGCATATGATGTAATACATTAAGGAAAGCTACTGTGGCTGGTCAGTTATTGCTATGAATTCACAGCAAAGGAAGAATCTCATGGGTCACAATGCCAGGAATCAGAAGTAGAGATTGTGCTGGTCTGAAGAACAATTCAAATTTTGGTGAGAATGGAGAGGACTGAGAGTAGCAAGCAAAGGTTGTGCGGAAAGTCTAGGCTAAGCATAGGGTGGAAAACAGGTGGCTGTGAAGAGGCAAGGCTGGGAAAGCTGGGCTTGGCAGACTGCGGGGTTTCAAGTGCCAGGGCTCCAAGATGGATGCTGCTAGCTATGACCCAGCAAAGGGTACCAGGCTGCCCCACCCTGAGAACAACTATGCCAGCTGGATAAAATACCAAAAAGAAATAAGCAAAGAGAGCATTCCAGAAGGATCCAAAGAAGGATTGAAGGTTTGAAGGAGTTCCAGAAGGATCCAAATAGCCAGGACTGGAGAGTACTGACAAATGCTCCGATGTCAGCTGGTATCCCAGCAGCCTCTGTGCTCAGAGCATTTCCTTATTCATATGCAAGGCACACTGGGCCACAGAGAAAGGCGTAAACTAGACTCTGCAGCTATTTCATTCAGAACAAACACTGGACATTAATGGTATCAAAGCAGAATTTAAAGGGAACTCAGCGGCTTGCAAGCACACCCCCGCCCCCGCATTTGCTAATTCCTAAACTACACAGGTGTGACTGGGGAGCAAGAAACCAAACAGAAAGAAGCTGCTAAAGGGGAAAGAGCCAAGCAGAGATTTTGCGAGAACAAAATGTGGATTTCAGGGCCTGCCAGGAAAGAGGAGCCTTAACAGACCCATCCCCAGCACACTTCCAAACTTTCAATTGAGGGCCCTAAAAAAGCTACACCCTAGGAGTAAGGGCAAACTGCAAACAGACCACCACAACTGAATGAAAGTGATACGCCCATACACTACCTGCCAAAAAAGACTAACATTTTCTCTGGAGGAAGATAACATACTCAAAACCCATATATTTTTCTTTTCTTTTTTGCGGGGATGGAGTTTTGCTCATCATCCAGGCTGGAGTGCAATGGTGTGATATTGGCTTACTGCAACCTCTGCCTCCCAGGTTCAAGCAATCCTCCTACCTCAGCCTCCCAACTAGCTGGGATTACATGTGTGCAACACCACGCCTGGCTAATTTTTGTACTTTTAGTAGAGACAGGGGTTTCACCATGTTGGCTAGGCTGGTCTCGAACTCCTGACCTTGGGTGATCTACCCACCTCAGCCTCCCAAAGTGCTGGGATTACAGGCGTGAGCCACTGCGCCTGGGCTCTGTAAATTTTTTCATACTCAATACTCATAAAAAATATATATAGACATACCAGAAAAGAGAAACAGATGACTGAAAACTGAGAGGAAAAAGAAGACAACAGAACAGATGCCAGGGCATTCAGCTATTCAAATGACGACATGGTCATTAAAACAGGCCAAAAGATGGAAACTCAGACCAAAGAGCTGGAATCTATAAAAAAAGAACCAGATGGAAATCTTAGCACCAAAAAAAATACAGTAACTCAAATTAGAATTTTAATAGATTTAAAAGCCAACTAGCCAAATAAGAAAAGATCTTACATGGAGTGGAAAATAGGCATATTGGCATATTTTCACATCCAGATTAAAGTACAGAGAAAAAAATATGATTAGAAAACTAGTAAGACATAGGTCACACACACACACAAAAGAAAACACCATACATGGGAGCCCCAGAAACCCTGTCTCTACTAAAAATACAAAATTAGCCAGGCGTGGTGGCAAATGCCTGTAATCCCAGCTACCTGGGAGGCTGATGAGGCAGGAGAATCGCTTAAACCCAGGAGGCAGAGGTTGCAGTGAGCTAAGACTGGGTCACTGTACTCCAGCCTGGGCGACAAGAGCAAAACTCCAACTCAAAAAGAAAAAAAACTTACCCTGTAAATGTTAACCTAAAAAAGTTACTGTTGTACCAACATTCATCAAAGCAGATTTTTTTTTAACGTTTTAATTTTTGTTTAAAGATTGGGGGGCTCTCACTCTGCTGCCCAGGCTGATCTCGAATTCCTGGGCTCAAGTGATCCTCCCAACCCAGTCTCACAAAGTGCTGGGATTATAGGTGTGAGCCACCACACCTGGCCAATGTCAAATAGATTTTAAGGCAAGAAGTTTAATTAAAAGTTAAAAGGAATATTTCATAATAATAAAAAGCTAATTAAATCAGGAAGCTACAGTACTCCTATATTTGTTTGCACCCAATATATACAGAAACATAGAATAAGAGGGGAAAAATTCATCTACAATCACAGCGGGAGATTTTAACACATCTATTTCGGTAACTAATAAAACAAGTAGACAAGTAAATCAGTAAGGATATAATTTTTTTTTTTAAAAGCCTGTTGCCCAGGCTGGAGTGGAGTGGTGCAAGTTTGGTTCACTGCAACCTCTGACTCCCAGGTTAAAGTGATTCTCTTGCTTAGCCTCCCAAGAAGCTGGGATTACAGGCATGTGCCACCATGCCCAGCTAGGGATATAAGATGTTTAAACAACATAATGAACACCCTAGGTCTATTTGATATACATACACAATACAAGAGCCAACAAATGCAAAATCCACATTTAATGCACATGGAACATTTACAAAACCTGACCACAAGCTGAGTCATATTCTCTGACCATATGGAATTAAGCTATAAATTAGTAACTTTTAAAAAAATCAAATATCCAAATTTTTGGAAATTAAGCAGTACACTTATAAAACAAACCCATGGGCTAAAGAAGATAACACAATGGAAATTAACACTATTTGAACTGAAATGATAATGAAAACATATCACAACTTGTGGGGTATAAAATAAAAAAAAATACTGAAAAACAAAACCAGAAAAGAATACAAACAAATAAACAGAAAGACAAAGAACCCTCAAGGAGTTCAGATTCTAATGGGGAGGGGACACATAAAAGAAAAATTTTAAAAAAAAAAGAAAAAGAAAACTTGTGGGACACATTGAAACCCATGCTTAAAGGGAAAACTTTTAACTTTTTGTGTATTTAAGAGAAAAGACGACTAAAAGATATCAATAGGTATTCATCTCAAGAAGCTAAAAGAACAACTGAAATTCAGAGAGTAAAAGGAAGGAAATAATAATGAACAGAAATCAATGAAAATATAAAACAAATGAACAAGACAGAAAATCAACAAAGCCAAAAGTTGGTTCTTAGAAAAAAAGGAAGAAAAATGATAAAACATACCAAGACTGATAGGAGATAGAAACAGAGTGAGAGCAAGCACAATGACCAATATCAGAATAAAAAATGAGACATCAGGGCTGGCTTCTCTGGCTTGCTAACTCGGCTGCTCTGGGGAATTCGTGCATGGTAGCACAGTGAGGTACCTCTGATGAAATTATGACTAGGTGGGCACGAGTTAATACTAACTACATATAACAAAAGACCCTTGCCTGCAACATCATAGGAGGACATGAAGAAGGGATCCTTTGAGGGAACGAGCCAAAGCCTACCAAAGTGTAAACAACTTGAAGCCAATAGGCTATCCCTTAAAAATGATGCACCCCAAGCAAAACATAGAAAGAACAAAAGGAAAAAAAGAGTACTTAAAGGAAGATGTGAATGGGTTCATGGAATACTTGAGACAACTCACGGATGGTTCACAACGGGCAAATTATAGCAATAGACAGTCAGGAAGTAAGGGAAGAAACTGCAGTTGTTTTAAAGGAAGACAGTCGACGGGAAGGAAGAAGATTAAAAAGACAAGCGACAAAGAAAAATGCAATGGTGTGTTTCCATTGTAGAAAACCTGGTCATGGAACTGCAGATTGCCCTGCTGCCCTTGAAAATCAAGATATGGGCACTGGAATATGTTACAGGTGTGGGTCCACCGAAATAACCAAGTGTAAGGCTAAAGTAGACCCGGCTCTTGGTCAATTTCCTTTCGCAAAATGTTCTGTTTGTGGAGAAATGGGGCACCTGTCTAGAGCTTGTCCTGATAATCCCAAAGGACTCTATGCTGATGGTGGTGGTTGCAAACTTTGTGGCTCTGTGGAATATTTAAAGAAAGATTGCCTGGAAAGTCAGAATTCACATCGAATGGTCACAGGTGGTCGCTGGGCAAAGGGAATGAGTGCAGATTATGAAGAAATTTTGGATGCACCTAAACCACAAAAACGCAAAACAAAAAATACCTGAAGTTGTTAATTTGTGATAATAACTAGCACTATCATTAGTTACCACCTCATTTTTACTTTCTAAACAAGCCCACTTCATAAGTTAGAGTTGGGCTCCCTTGTAGCCAAGACTATACTGTAAATAGCAGTATGATCTGAGTGGTCAAAAACAATTTTCTTTATTCTGTTCATCAAATAGTACTTCTACCACTGTTTGGAGAAAACTGAAGAAAAGAGTAAGATGGTTAAATGGATTCTCTAAAAGAACATATTTTAAGAGACAGAACTTAGGCATAACTAAGTGGATGTATACCTAATTGTAACAATCCTCTTTTATAAAAGCAAAATTATGTATAAATGTGAAACACCCCTAAACAAAGGGTACAAATGAACTTTTGGTGATATTGTTTTCTTGGCTCACAGTATCAATTTATTATTATAATAGAAATGTACAAGTTGCTGGAAAGTCTGTATTTTTAAAATATGAAATAAAAATGCATTTTCTATTGCTTGTTAAAAAAAAAAATGAGACATCACTGATCCATCCTCATCACAAGGCAGTAGATTATGTTTTAAAAATTTCAAACTTTAAATGTGAGAGTTTACATAAAATGGACAAACTGCAAAATGCAACATCCCAAAAGTGACCCAAGAAGAAAAGGAAATCTGAACAGCTTACGTTGATCAAAGAAACCGGATCAGAAACTAAAAACCCTTTCCACAGAGATGGTCCAAAGGGCTTCACCAAGGAATTCCTTATCAAAATATAAGAAAAAATAACACAAATTTTATAGAAACTCATTTAAAGAACAGAAAAAAAAAGGAAAATGTGTCAATCTGTTTTCTGAGACCAACATAAAACTCGATGCCAAAACCTGACAAAGTCATTACAAAAAAATCATAGGGCAATCTCTCTCATGAATTTAGATGCAAAAGTTCTAATAACTAACATCAGCAAGTCAGATTTAGCATTATATTAAACAGATAATACATCAAACCAAATTAGGTTTACTTTGAGAATGTGAGGGCAATTTATCATTTAAACAGCAATCAATATATATCACAAATTAATAAAATAAGGGAGAAAACATATGATCGCCTTAATAAATGCAGTAAAAATATTTTATGAAATTTAATATCATGATTAAAACTTTTTAGCAAACTAGAAATAAAACAGCATTTCCTGGCCAGGCGAGGTGGCTCACACCTGTAATCCCAGCACTTTGGAAGGCCGAGGCAGGCAGATCACGAGATCAGGAATTCGAGACCAGCCTGGCCAACACAGTGAAACCTGATTTTGAACTTTATATAAATGTTAGAAGTACAAACATTAAAAATACAACAATTAGCTGGGCGTAATGGTGCATGCCTGTAGTCCCAGCTACTCGGGAGACTGAGGCAGGAAAATCGCTTGAACCTAGGAGGCAGAGGTTGCACTGAGCCAAGATCACGCCACTCACTGGACTCCAGGTGACAAAGGGAGACTCCTCAAGAAAAAAAAAAATGACCACTATAAGCAGAGTGTAGGTGAATCTCACAGTCCTAAGATTCAGCAAAAGAAGTCCATCAGATTTTTGCACTTCATATATATAACACTTAAAAAAAAAATGAAGGGGCCGGGCGCAGTGGCTCACGCCTGTAATCCCAGCACTTTGGGAGGCCGAGGCGGGTGGATCATGAGGTCAAGAGATCAAGACCATCCTGGTCAACATGGTGAAACCCCGTCTCTACTAAAAATACAAAAAATTAGCTGGGCATGGTGGCGCACGCCTGTAATCCCAGCTACTCAGGAGGCTGAGGCAGGAGAATTGCCTGAACCCAGGAGGTGGAGGTTGCGGTGAGCCAAGATCACGCCATTGCACTCCAGCCTGGGTAATGAGAGCGAAACTCCGTCTCAAAAAAAAAAAAAAAAAATGAAGGGAAGAAGGGAGGAAGGAAGAGAGATACAGATGGAAAAGGAAGAGAAGGAGGAAGGCTGACCTTATCCCATAGACAATGAATGGTTGCTGACAGTTTTAGAGCAGAGAAATGGTGTGATGTTTCATGAAGCACTTTCTTGGCTGTGCACTATTTACTGGAAAAGCAGAAATACTAGAAGATGCACCAACTAGCAGACTACTGTCATAATCCTGGCATCCAAATCACCTGATCTTTCTTCCATATATGGCTAAGATTTGAGCTGTGGCAATGGAGGAAGAACAGAGACAATAGAAAAGAAAAATCTGATAGGTCTTGCTGACTGAACCTAAACTAGAGAGAAAACTGAAAAAAGGGAAGGGTCAAGTTCCCTGTGAGGTTCTGAGTCTGGGTGACAAATGTCACTAATGACAAAAGTATCAACAACTCAGGTCAGGTCACTATAAGTATTGGTAAAAATGCAAAATGATGGAAATCTTATACAATCTTGCTGGGAATGTCAAACTGGTACAATTATTTTCAAAAACTGGCAGTATTTACTAAACCTGATATACCTATCCTATGAGCCAGCAATTCCACTAGGTATATACCCAATATGTATATGATTGGGGTAACGAATGTAGCTCTTTATTAGGGCTGATTAAGAAACTGTCAGGAAGAACTTGCCTGGCTTACCAGTAGTGCCTGACAAATGTTAGGTGACAATGATATTCACTGCAACTCTACAGGATTTTTTTTTTTTTTTTGAGACAGAGACTTGCTTTGTCACCCAGGTTGAAGTGCAGTGGCTCGATTTAGGCTCACTGTAACCTCTATCTCCCAGGTTCAAGCGATTCTCATGCCTCAGCCTCCCAAGTAGCTGGGACTATAGGCACACACCACCAAGCCCAGCTAATTTTTCTATTTTTAGTAGAGACAGGGTTTCGCTATGTTGGCCAGGCTGGTCTCCAACACCTGACCACAAGTGTTAGGCCCACTTCAGCCTTTCAAAGTGCTAGGATTACAGGCATGAGCCACAGTGCCTGGCCAACTCTACAGGTTTGATCATTTGAGGGATCAAGGACTGCAATCAATCCAGTAAGATTACAAGTAAAACACATTATAAAAATTTGCCAGTTCACCAATTCCCAAATCACGTTTGTTCATGACAATCTAAAGGAATGGCCGATGCTACCCTTCTACTCACGCTGGCTTGCCGGTGCTGCACTGCTGCCCTCAGCTCATCTCGCAGATGCCTCAGTTTATGAATCTTGGTTCCAAGAGCACCTTCCTGGGCCTGCACACTCTGTGGCTCTTCAGACTGTTTACGGGATTTGCTCATTTGGGTCTCTAGCCTTTCCAAGTGAGCTAAAACACCTAAGGAGAGTAAAAGGAGAATTTCACAAGAAGCCAAGGACTTCTCACTGTGGCAACAAGACTCCTCTCAGGGAAGAACAGGTGGCTCTTTTTTACCAGAACTTTGTGGCCAGCTGAATTGTTAGGTATCTGTCAATTTATAAAACCAGGGAAGCTAACAATTGAAATCAAAGATCATCAACCTCGTAGGTTGAAGAGTGATGTAAAACAGGATCCTCTTCAAAGAGAGCCTGACAGAGGACATGAACTGTTACACGCTGATTAGGCAGCAGTGTCTTATCTAAGTCTGCAGTTTATCGCAAATCCGCATCTCTAATGTGTAAAGGATGATTCCCTAGCTTTACCATGGGCTGGAGAGAAGCCCCCTCAAGGCTGGGTGAGGTGGCTCATGCCTGTAATCTCAGCACTTTGGGAGGCCAAGGTGGGTGGATCACCTGAGGTCAGGTGTTCGAGACCAGCCTGAACAACATGACGAAACCCCATCTCTACTAAAAATACAAAAAATTAGCTGGGCATGGTGGCATGGGACTGTAATCCCAGCTACTCAGGAGCCTGAGGCAGAAGAATTGCTTGAATTGCAGTGAGCCAAGATTGCACCATTGCGCTCCAGCCTGGGTGACAGAGCAAGACTCGGTCTTGCTCTTCTTTTTGTTTAAAAAAGAAGTCCCAGACTTTATTTAATCAAGCTTCTTAAGTACACCTGCCATCTATTTTGTAGGATTCATATAGATAAACGTATGAAAATCTTAATCTTCTTTCCTTGCCTTGAGACAGAATCCAAAAACTTATTCACCCAACTAATTAAGACTAGAAACCTCTTATGGTTTTTACGGCTAATAAAACCATTAAAAAAATTGTGTGAGATCAAATAGAAACTTACACACACTATATGCAGAATTATCCTATTTTACTCATTGAAGCCTGTCCCCTCTTGCTTTTCTCAGAAACCCTCAATGATCAGGTACCTATATTCTCAGCTGTGTTCATTTCCCTTCCACATATGCTCAAGTCTCAAATGTCTTCAAACACACACTCATACACACACTCATTCACACACACACACACACATTCATTTGCTCACAGGCCTATTCTTGCCCACAAATCCCCTTCAGCTACCATTGCCCTTTTCTCTCCTTTCCTTTTCAGGAAAACTACTTAAAAGAGTTGTCCATGCAAGTTGAGTATCCCTTATCTGAAAGTCTTGGGTCTAGAAGTGCTTCTGATTTCAGAATTGGGAATATTTGCATTATATTTACTGGCTGAACATCCCATATCTGAAAATCCAAAGTCAGAAATAAGCATTTCCTTTGAGCATCATGTCAGTGCTCAAAAAGCTTCCGATTTTGGAATATTTCAGATTTTGGATTTTCAGTGCTCAACCTGTACTCACTTTCTCCATTTCCTTGCCCATGACTCATACCTCAACCCACATGTAACTCACTTCTGTTCCCATTACTTTACAAAACGACTCTAAGATCAACAGTGATGTCCATGCTGCTGAACCCAAAGAACATTTTTCAAGCACCCTTATCTCACCTCCCAGCGCTATGTGCTTCTACGGATCACCACCTTCACGAAACCCTCTTTTCCCTTGAATCTTAGCATACCAGCCTCTTGGTTTGCCTTGTTGAATAGATGTTTATTAAGCATCTATTTTGTGCCAAGCACTATTTTAGGCACTAGGAACACAGTGATGAACTAGAGACGAACACCTTGTTTTTGTGAAGCTTACATTTTACCGCTCTGACCCCTCTTTCTGCTTTGCAGGCTGCTACTCTCCTCCTTGACCATTAAATGCTGAAATTTTCCAGAGCTCAGTCCTAAGACCTCTTTTCTCCAGAAGAAATCTCATCAGTACCCACAGCCTTAATGGCCATATATGTCAATGCCTCACAAATATGTATCTCTAGCTTATACCTCTCTCCTGCTCCTGAGAAAGCAGAATATCTACCTGCCTTCTCAGTGTATCTACTTGGAAGACTTACAGAAACCTGAGAATCAACATGTCCAAGACTGAATTCATCATCTTCCCCTTCTAAACCCCTCCATGACTAGAACCATCATCCATCTAGCTGTGTAAGCCAGGTAGTTTCTTCCTCCCACCTTCTCCTGTCCCAGTCCCAATCTGTTACCAAATCCTACTGAATATACATTCCTAGTATCTCTGAAATATTTCCATTTTCCCCATCTGCTCTGCCACCATTGTAGTTCAAGCTACCCCATTTCTGGCTGATGACAAGTTTCCTAGGTGGCCATATTTCAAAACCTAAACTGCATCACATCGCCCAGCTGGCTAAAGCCTTTCCATGACTTCACACTGCCTACGAAGCCTACTGGCCTCTGTGTCTCTCCTGCCCTCGTCAGTATCATGCTGCTCCTTCTCAATGCTCTTCCACACAGCCCTCCTCTCAGCCTCTCAAACCTGCCCAGCTTCTTTACCAACCTGATTCCCCCTACACCAAATGCTCTTCCACAGCCCCTTATTCACCTTCACAAGCAGTTACTCTAGCTCGTTAGCACTCAACGCAAGCAGCAGTTCCTCAGGGAAACCTTTGTAGCACCTTCAGAACAAGGTCAGGTGCCAGCACATAAGATCTCAAAGATCCTGAGAAAATATTATAGTTTTTCTGTTTGCTTTGTTTTAAATACGAGATGGCGGTCTCACTATGTTTACCAGGCTGGTCTCAAACTCCTGAGCTGAAGCGATCCTCCCACCTCGGCCTCTCAAAGTGCTAGAATTATAGGCATGAGCCACCGTACCCAGCCACTATAGTTTTCATTGTATATTCATTAGTGTGATTATTTGATTGCTTATCTCTCTCACTGAACCTTAAAATTCCAAAATCAGGGGCCATGTGCATTTCTGTTCACCCATGTATCTCTTATACCTGGCACAATGCCTGCCACATGGTAAACACTCTATAAATAGTTACCAAAACATGGACAACCAGGCATGCTGCTGTTGGAGATTAGTTCACTTGGCCTATGTCCACAGGAAGATCCACATTACTGCAATAATATTCGTGAAATACCAAAATTTTAAATAAATTAGTCCTAACAATTAGCATGTGAAATTCATTGCTTTATTAACAAATCTCTCTGTCCAACAACTACGTATCGAGAATCTACTATAGACCAAGGACCATGCTGGAAACTATTCATACTGTGGTGGCAAAATGAAGTCCCTGTCCTCACAGAGCTTACAAAAATTATTTAATGTCCGACCAGGAGGTGCTCTGAAAAGCACATACACACGGTTTAATTTAGGGTGGTACAGGTGAGGCCTGACCAAATTCTATTTTATGGAAATTCTACATTACTAAACGAGGAGCTATCATTGTTCCCGAAGTTTCTGAGATAAGCAGGTGTTCAAAACGGTGTTAGCTTGTTGTTTAGCGTTGCTACTACAGAAAAGAGAGTCTATCTGCTGAGCCTGCTTTACCTTGGAAGTTACGATTGCATCTCATGCTCGCCAGTCAGCTTTCTCAGAAAAAAGGTTACAAAAAAGGTCAAAATCCCTGCCCATTTGAATAAATCACCTGATTGCAACTAAAATTCCATGTCCTTCCTTCTCAAATGAGTGGGGAGATTTCAAATCATAAGCAAAAAGCTGAAATCACAGAAGCAGAGGGATAAAACGAGTATGGGTAACAGCTAAATGTTTAAATATTGTTTTGGGCAGAGAATAAGGGGACTGGTCTAAGTCTCTTGATAATCCAAAACTTCCACCTCATCGCTTATTTTAACAGAAACAAAATTAGGCCTGGACTAGAGAATAGGTTACTCCTGAATGTGTAGCATGTTTCTACTATATAAAATCACCAAACTTATTTTTAGTCTTAAAGTAACAATAAATCTTACCCCATACACTTTTATTATCTGAAGTCTCAGCTTACGTCATCTTCAGCTGAATACAGCTACTTCTCATATCAACGATAATGATGACCCAGAGAAAAGTAGGGTCGCCAAATTCACTCAGACACTCAGAAATTCTTTTTAAAACTGTAAAGTACTTTTTAAAGTTGGGTTTTATGGCAAGCTTTCCCAAAGTACTAGTGCAGAACCCTTTGGATTTAGGCATCGGGCTGGATTAAGTATTTCAAAGTTCTAAAAAGTATTAGTAGCACAGGACATAATGTCATACAAAACCAAACTGTCCACAAATATTACTGGGCACTAAAGAGGAAAGCAACTTTACTTCTGGACAGAAATTCAGATGTAAATCTCAGTTTCCAAAGGACTGACTATGGACTAAGTAAAAGTAATAGTTCATATTCTTTTTTTTTTTTTTTGGGACGGAGTTTCGCTCCTTACCCAGGCTGGAGTGCAATGGCGCAATCTCGGCTCACCGCAACCTCCACCTCCTGGGTTCAGGCAATTCTCCTGCCTCAGCCTCCTGAGTAGCTGGGATTACAGGCACGCGCCACCATGCCCAGCTAATTTTTTGTATTTTTAGTAGAGACGGGGTTTCACCATGTTGACCAGGATGGTCTCGATCTCTTGACCTCGTGATCCACCCGCCTCGGCCTCCCAAAGTGCTGGGATTACAGGCGTGAGCCACCGCGCCCAGCCAATAGTTCATAATTCTAAGCAACTCTAACAATAAAGCATTCTTTAAACACTTTCTACATCTTAAGATACCTACAGAGTATGTAAAGAATTAAACCTTTTATTGAATACTTCCTATCTATTAGACACGTGCTCAATGCTTTACTTGGAAAGTTTGAATTAAATACCTTTCCATCACAACAGAAACACTTTTTTCCACAACAACCACAACAGAGCTATTTTCACTTCCATTTTCCAGATGAAGAAACTGAGGCAGAAAATAAACTGACTTGCCTGAGATCCCAATATTTAAAATGGCAGAGCCAACACTCAAACCCAGTTCTAACCAACACCAAAGTCACGGCCCTGCACTGGCCCTCCCTCAGGAGTAATGCATAAATGGTCCAAAAAATACAGGGAGAGCAAAGAGACCCTGGCTAGAACCATAGTTCAGAATATAAACACTGGGCATATGATGGATGCAACTTATCGGTTTCAAAAGGGGTGGGGGCCTAGAAACGAAGACATTTTTCTTCCTTGAATGGTCTTGGCTGCCTGTCCCTTTGTCTTCAGTGTTAGTTCCTTTCACTATTCTGCTCCCAAACGGGCCAGGTCTCACGTCAGTTCCAAGAGGAAAGGGCTCTCTCAGGTTATCTGAGGGTCATGCTGCGGGTCATCTTTGGGCAGCAGCAGGAAGGGGAAGGCGGCGACCCTCGGAATACCTCCTTTGGACTCGCCATCTGGATGTAAAGGGTTCGCCTGCTCCATCTCAGATTCCCAAGGGCCTTCTCAAGAAGTTGTCCAGCAAAGGGTGATAGGGACCTCAACGTCCTTGTTGGTTTAAAAAAAAAAAAAAAAGCAACAGTCATATCATCTCTATTCCGATTCAAAATCAGACGGCAGGACACACATCACTCAGGCACAACCCCTGGGCCGCAGATGACACAAATGTCACCGCTAGTACTCCCCCCACTGCCCGCTCTCAGCGTCGGAGCCAGCGTCCACGCCCACCCCCGCGCCCCCTACGCGCTGCCGAAGGCACGGCTCCTCTCGTCTAGCCGGCTTCCCAGCCACGAAAGGAGTTTTAAGAAGGCTGTTCAGCCCGCCACCCTGGCCACTATACCGTCCGACACTGGGTCTTTTCCCTACTTTTTTTTCCTTCTGGCTTACCCAGCCCAGGGTCGAGAATTCCCGCCAACCACGTCTTCAAAACCAACTCAACCAGTCCCGGCGTACTTTGCGATTCTGCCGTACAAAAACATGGCGGCGCTCAGGGCCCCGCCCTGATCCCAGCATGCTCCGGGGAGTAGGTCCGGTTTTTCGGGTGGTCAGGAAGATGGCGGCCTCAGGGGCGGAGCCGCAGGTACTGGTACAATACTTGGTGTTACGAAAGGATCTATCACAAGCTCCGTTCTCCTGGCCGGCGGGCGCATTGGTAGCGCAGGCTTGTCACGCGGCCACCGCGGCCTTGCATACTCACCGCGACCACCCGCACACAGCAGCTTACCTCCAAGAGCTGGGGCGCATGCGCAAAGTGGTCCTTGAGGTGAGGCACTCGGGCGGAGGGAGAGGTGCTGAGACGTCGAGGGCTCGCTCCGTGGGGTCAGTGCAAAGTGAAGTTAAACTGAGTATTTACCTGGGTAGGACGCCAAATTATTTAAAAATAATATTAAAAACCTTAGTATTAATTGAACCTAGCTTCAGATAGACCAGGCACCAGGGGTGTAAATCGGTACACCTTTTAAAATAGCAGTTAGGTTCTTTTTGCAGATGACCAAGCAAATCTCACCCTTACCCTTCGACTCCGTCTCTCCTGCTGCTTTGAGATATAGCCTAAGAAAATAATCAGATGCACCCAAAGAGCTTTGCACAAGGATAATCATGGAAGCCCTTACGTTTCTGAAGCATATTTGGTGGCCTGGAAGAGTGCTCATGATGCGAAGCTAACTCGACTATATGTACAGAGTGATTCAGGCTTCGAAAGGAAAAACTAAGGAAATATATCTAAACATTAAGTAGTACATGATGAGATTTTGGTTGTTTCCTAATGCTTCTCTATATTTTTAAATTTTTCTACCTTAAGCACATATTTTATACTAAGGTAAAACGTCTTTAAAATAAGCCAAAACTCAGGTGGAGGGGTAGAGTAATCCCTTCATGGGTAACTGGCAAAGACAGATTATCTTTCAAGAAAATTGCTGCTGGGTAGTGAGACATCAAGCGGTAACCTGTAGGAAAATGTCTGGAGAATCTGAGTAGGCAGAACAGAAGCCGCTGGCTTTTCACTTAGATTTCTTCCTAGGAAGAGGCCTCAGGAAATCAGGTTCAGACTCCTCTTGTCACAGATGAAACTATCTGAAGCCCACAGAGATTAAGTGACTCCCGGAGTTTAAAAGACTGCTGATTCTTAGTCATGACTCAAGAAAGGGACTTAGGAGTTGCTACTGGTTAAATTGAGGTGCTGCTGTAGTCAGAAAGACCAACAAAATATAAGACGATACCAGGATTAATGACATTTATTGGGTGCTTAGTATGTGCCAGGCACAGGTCTGAGCCTAATTTCATTAATCCTCCTATTTTATAAAGGGACCAAGAGAGGCTGGGCTCAGTGGCTCATGCCTTTAATCCCAGCACTTTGGGAGGCTGAGCCGGGTGGATCACCTGAGGTCAGGATTTGGAGATCAGCCTGGCCAACATGGTGAAACCGCATCTCTACTAAAAATACAAAAATTAGCCAGGCATGGTGGTGGGTGCCTATAATCCCATCTACTCCGGAGGCTGAAGCAGGAGAATCGCTGGAACCCGGGAGGCAGAGGTTGCAGTGAGCCGAGATGGCACCACTGCACTCTAGCCCAGGCGACAGAGCAAGACTCGGTCCCCAAAAAATAAATAAGTAAAACAAAATAACCAGGCGTGGTGGCAGGCACCTGTAATCCCAGCTACTTGGGAGACTGAGGCAGGAGAATCACTTGAATCCAGAAGGGAGAAGCTGCAGGGAGCTGAGATCGCACCCCTGCACTCCAGCCTGGGTGACAGTGCAAGACACCATTTCAAAAAAAAGAAATCCTTTCACTAGGCAGTTGTTAAAGTCAGAGGCACTTAAAATTATGGGCATAGCCATAAAAGAACTAGAAAATGTGTAGAGCAGAATTACACATTACATGTGTATGTTGGGCATACAGCATCTCACAAGGGAAGATACAAATCTCCATTTTCTAAACAGGAATATGAAGCTTCTCTACCCTCCCCAGTGCAGCAAGGAATGACATTGCTGCTCTGCAGCCCCTTCTTCGGTAAAGCTGTTACTCCACTTTCAGTTAAGAGGACTCCTGAAACCTTTTTTGGCCTTCTGACCCTTGCTAAATGGGCTATTCAGTTTGTGTTCTGTGTTCTCCTTTAGGCCCCAGATGAGACCACCCTAAAGGAGCTGGCTGAGACCCTGCAACAGAAGAACATTGACCACATGGTATGGCTCGAACAACCAGAGAATATTGCCACGTGCATTGCTCTCCGGCCCTACCCCAAGGAAGAAGTGGGCCAGTATTTGAAGAAGTTCCGACTGTTCAAATGACTGCTGCTTTGATATGCTTGAATATCAGCTGGATCCAGAAACAGCAGGCCACCCATTCCTAAGCATCGTGTGCTCCCTGCAGTGTCAGCTTGCTCCCCTCTTTCAGTTGTAACAAAGTCTTGAGGGTTAAGCACGTCGTGTTCATATTAAAGTTGTCACTAATAACTACTTCCTCTTATTATTATTAATAAGTTCAAGTGGGGAAGGTGGGTGAGCAGTATTGTCTGGGGATCATTACTCAAAGAAAAGATTTGGTTATACTCTCCTATGGGGATCAAGGAAACGCCCTTCTAATCATCCAGGTTTTGGCTGGGCGCAGTGGCTCACGCCTGTAATCCCAGCACTTTGGGAGGCCAAGGCAGGCAGATCACCTGAGGTCAGGAGTTTGAGACCAGCCTGACCAATATGGAGAAACACTGTCTCTACTAAAAATACAAAATTAGCTGGGCATGGTGGCACATGCCACCACATGCTACTCGGGAGGCTGAGGCAGGAGAATGGCTTGGACCCAGGAGGCGGAGGCTGCGGTGAGCCCAGATCACACCACTGCACTTGAGCCTGGGCAACAAGAGAGAAAAACAAAGCAAAACAAAAATCACCCAGGTTTGAAACTTTGCTTTTGAATTCCTTATTTCTTTCTCACAGCCAGGTATCGTATTTCATTGACTCTAAGACAACATGAACTTTATGATGCAGTAATATTTTATGTATTGTTAAAAAAAAATGCTGGCAACTAAAACTGCAATTGATTGTATTTCAATAACAAAGATGTTAAATTTGTCTCTAAAATAATAAAAAGTTAAAATGTGTGTGTCTATATATATGTACATAGATACAGATTTATTTGATTCGATGAAATCTGCCAAGTACTACAGCTATTTTCTTGTCATTTCAGTGCCACTGCCCTGTGTCAGCCTCTCATTTTGCTCACTGGAGTGCCCCACGGTCTGTTCACCTCCAGTGTGGCGCTCCAATCCAGAAGATAGGACGGCTGAGCACCTGTGTAGTCTAGCCTCCTCCCTGCCTACAGAGTAATCCCAGCACTCCTTAGCTTAGCCTTCAGGCGGTCCTCATGTTTATTTCCTTTTTCTTTTTCCCAAGACAGAGTCTCTCTCTGTCACCCAGGCTGGAGTGCAGTGGCGAGATCTCTGCTCACTGCTATCTGGGTTCAACTGATTCTCCTGCTTCAGCCTCCCGAGTAGCAGGGTGTGTGTCACCATGCTGGCTAATTTTTGTATTTTTAGTAGAGACGGGTTTCATCATGTTGGCCAGGCTGGTCTCGAAATCCTGACCTCAGGTGATCTGCCAGCCTCGGCCTCCCAAAGTGTTGAGATTACAGGCGTGAGCCACCACACCCAGACTCCTACCTATATTTTTAGTTGCATCTTGTCTTCCATTATTCAAACTTGATGTTTCCGCAGATTCACTCAGTTGCTGTTCTCATCTCTGGCGTGGGAGTTTAATGTTATTACTCCTCCTTCCCTTTTCTGCCCCTGGACTTAACTGAAACTATTTCCAGCTCAAGTGCTATCACTGCCAAAAATTCTTACCCAGCCAAAAATGATAGTTCCCTTTGAACATCTGTAACACTCTGTACACTGTGTACAATATTTCTGTAAACATTTGGACACATCTACAGAAATTGCTTAGGTATCTGTGAAGCAAAGTTTATAAGGGGTAATTTGCTCAACAGATATCTATTGTTTGCATATTGTGGCAGGCTGCACATAAAATAGTTTTTACCCTCAGGCAGTAAGAATCTATATGAGTGTTACCCTTCCCCCCTTTTTTTTGTACCAAGATCCCAGATAAGATTTCCCTTTATGGGCCCAGTGTGGGGGCTCACACCTGTAATCCCAGCACTTTGGGAAGCACCTGAGGTCAGGCGTTTGGGACTAGCCTGACCAACATGATGAAACCCTGTCTCCACTAAAAAAACAAAACAAAAAACTCAGGCACAGTGGCTCACACCTGTAATCCTAGCATTTTGGGAGGCCAAGGATGGTGGATCTCCTAAGGTCAGGAGTTTGAGACCAGCCTGGCCAACATGGCAAAACTCCATCTCTACTAAAAGTACAAAAATTAGCTGGGCATGGTGGTGGGTGCCTGTAATCCTAGCTACTCAGGAGGCTGAGGCACGAGAACCACTTGAACCCGGGAGGTAGAGGTTGCAGTGAACTGAGGTTGCCCCATTGCACTCCAGCCTGCACAACAAGAGTGAAACTTGGTCTCAGAAAAAAAAAAAATTTACCTTTATGACAGGTGGTCACCTGAATCGAGGAGAGCGGATGGGGTCTCACCGGGAAAATCGGTAGAGTGCTGAGGGGAGAGCCAACCCCAGGAAGCTGAGTAAATGAAAAGTTCAAGGGGTAGAGAGCAATCGTGCAGCATAGAATTCAGTAAATAAAACATGGAAACATTTACCAATTGGGAATGTACTGGTGAGCGTGGTGAAGTTTAAATAGCATAGTGAGGGTGGAAATCAGATTGTAGTCTGTTGAGACAAGAATGTGGGGGAGGTAAGAGGTGAGAAGTGTCCCTTCCGAAGCTGGAAAGGGAGGAGAGAGAGGATAATGGTTGATTAGGGGCAGGAAAGAGCAATGCTGGGTCCCCTAGTCGGGATTCTTAGCTCTTGAGCAAGTTGACAGGTGAAGAGGAGAAAGAGTGAGGAGAGGAGAGATTAAAGTTACCAAATAGAATAATTGATGAAGCCCAGAGAAAACAGGAAGAGGTGGGGTC